GCATTTATAGTTTTGGACAGAACAAAGCAAGCCATCTTCATTTTTCAATTATGCTAAGCTAACAAGCGTTTATATTTGTTACAAAGATGTAAAGTGTATGCTTCTGTTTTACACTTATGGCCCGTCCATTACTGTGCAACAAAAGGTCAAAGTTCGGTTCTGCCTTATGATTGATGATGATCGGCTCTTTCACGATTCCTCACTAACAGGTGAACAAACAGAGCGAGCTGACAGAACTCTTGGTTGGAGTTAATAATCACAGCCGACAGTCAGCAGAGTCTAGCCAAACCACCTTTTATTAATTCATTCATCCATCTGAGAAAGGATGTGTTAACAGATGGGAGTACAACTTTGCGCTGTCTTTGTTGTACAGCAGATTATCTTTGACTAAGCAACTTGTCTTTGTCTCTAGCGAGCACAGTGGGATGATTCAAACACTTCAAACACTCAGAGCGCAGCTCTGCACCTGATGCCTCCCAGTGAAACACTGAGTGTAACCAAGGCAGCGTGACGCTCACGAGGCTTTAGTGGGTGCACATCGGTGTTGTTGTGCTCCAAGAGCATCTCAAATGTAAATCACAGATCACAGAAATACCTGCAAGCAATACAATTAACATTTTGAGTGATTAGGCCATCTTTGGACACAGATGGAAAGCAAAGCAATAAAGATGTATATGGTCATGTTTTTATAACATAATAACATATTTATGTTCATATAAACATATTCAAAGTATTCAAATTCCAGAGGAAAAATAAACACTGAGGAAATGTTTCAGACACACTTTTCTCTTAAAGTTGTTCCAGTGTTTCGGCAAAATTCTGCTTCTCTTCCTGTAACTGACAGGACACATAATCATCTTTGTAAGGCTTCTCCAGTGGAAACTTATATTATGTACACAATAAATGAGTGACTATTTGTAGTGCTCCATATTACAGCTTTATTGTACAGTATAATTCAACTGGAAATGTACTGTGAAACTAAACAGATTATTAATCTCACAGTGTGTCACTAACTAATAACAAAAATATGTAGATTAGCAAAGAAAATTAGGAATCAGCACATGCTACACTGGCAAACTTCTGGCTTCAACGTTAGCATTAGCATTATAAGGAACCCAGACAAAGTCCTTTTAAATACTGCACTTTGTGTCATGGATATATCTTCAGGAATGTCAGCACGCCATGTTAAAGTTGGCTCAGGGGCTTGCATGCCATGTTGCTAACATGATTTTTGATTATCTGAATAACCATCAAGTTGTAAGAAAACTAGCTACTTTATGCAACTATTTTTTGTTTAAATGATATACATTTACTTTACCTGGTAGCATGCTAAGCACTGCCACTAAAAGGTAGTGGTAAAGCATATACATACATATAGCATTAGTTGCTTTTTTTTATTTTTTTTTTATTTTTTTATTTATTTCATATTTATATCCTGTTCATAGCCTGTACATAGCTTGTACTCACTACAGCCTGTACATACTTATAGTTATAGAATATTCATAACATACTTCATACCGTGTACATTATAACATACCATAATAGACCCATTTCTGTAATATACTTACATATCTATATTATTGCTAATATATATTGTAATATATCTATATCGCTAAAGCACTTCTGGATGGATGCAAACTGCATTTCGTTGCCCTGTACCTGTACATGTGCAATGACAATAAAGTTGAATTCTATTCTATTCTATTCTATTCTATATAGAGGCTTTATTTACCGACCACTATTAAACAACAGAACAGAAGAAGAATACAAGATTAACTGCAAAGCGACAGATTGATGAAACATTTGTGAGAATATACAGACGGCTACTTTCAACTTTAGGAAAGAAAAGGAAGGAAAATTATTTCAAGGCCAAACTGTGTCAGGTACAGCTAGCAGACGACAAGAGTACCACAACTATACATAGTCATTTAAGGGGGATTTAAGGGTAGGAGGTGATCTTGGAAGAATAACAGTGTAAAATGGAATCATACATTTCCTTGAAATGCCTATCTCCAGTGTAGTTACATTTTGGTATGTGTGTTAGAAAATCAGCATGAAATCAGATACACCAGAGGCTGATCAGCCAGTCATCCATCATGGCCAATCAGCTGAAAACAGCCGACTGGCCCATCGATCTGTGCATCTCTACTTCAGACAAACTTGGAGCGTGGCCGAGCACAGCTCGGCATGTCTCTGCATTTGTGACACTAAGTGGAGAAAGCGCTTATAAAATATTAAGTTACATTTCTCCCTCTAACTGTCTGATATTGTCAAACAGGGATAGAGGGAAAATCTCTCTGTTTTAATTACTCTGAATTATGTAAGAGCTAATGATAAAAATAACCTGAGATAAATCAACTGCCTGCAAGGCCCACCTACAGCATGACGCCTCGCAGAGAAAGCACTTACTTTATTGGCTGTCGCACAAAAAACGTTGGCTCATCCATGTAAAATCAGTCTGGACTGAAACAGAAAATAATACTCACAAGGAGATAAACAAAATTAAGTCGAGCCTGAGCCATTGTTAATGGCGCTGTCCAATTTGCAGAGAGAATTACTTCAGGGGAGACAATCGAATGGACGAAAGCTGAAGAGCTTTCAGAAATCTTTCTGCAGTAGCCATGTATAGTGCTGAAGTGAGGTGTTACACGTTCCTATTAATTACTCTTATCACCGAGTGACAGGCTGTCCTTCCTGTGAAAATGTCATCCAAAGCAAGAGGAAACAGGAGAAACAAGTGGGGGAATGACAGCATTACAGCCACTTTGTCTGTGAAGTCAAATCCAGGAAGGTCGGCAGCAAAGGCTCCATCCAAAAGGGTGAGGTTTTCTAAAAGACCGCAGTCTGACCAGTAATCACAGGGCAGGCTCAGGATGACCTCCCACCTCAAACCACACCTGTTAATTAGAGGAAATACTCATCTGTGTCTACTCTCTAGAACACTTGGTGTAGGAGTAAACACAGTCCTAACAGCTGAGCGAGTGGCTCCAGTGAAAGCAGCACAGACTCCAAACAGAAACTGTTTAGAAAGATTGCGAAACTGCAGCCAAATTCTGCCAGCCTGGAGCGGGACTGCACAGCATGTGCTTTACTGTGACTTTGCTCTTCTTTGAATACCCCTTAGGATCAAATTAAACACTTTCTTTTGGGGGGTTTTCTTTAAGCCTCATTCATTGCTCTTTTCTCCCATGCCGGGCATTCCCACTTGAAGCAACTTGTCAGTTTAAAGCCCACCTGATGCTTAAATCAAACTTGTTGTTGTGCAGAGCAGAGTGCAACTTTCGGCAGCCTCGACGCCTCTCTCATCTCATTTGTGACAAAGACGACAGCTAAATTAGGGACCAGAAAATGTCTCGCATTACAGCGGAAAGCCCACTTTTCACTAGCAAATGAATGAGAACGTGTGGAGGCTTTTTCAGTCCTCCACACGTGCATGAAAACACAGTAATCATAGATATCAAACTACTGTAAGCACGCTTGTGAGCTCGCTGGCATCTTTACCTGACAGGCACAGCAGGGGCTCATCTTGAGGTACTTTGCATTAATATGCACACTGGTGCTGTTGCATTTATTTGTAGGTTGTCAAAGTTAATCAGCTCCTGAGAATGACTTATTAAAGTTGAGAGACTTTGAAAAAAGACAAAAAATACAAAGAGAGCCACGACCGCTGAGCACATTCACAATTCAGTGACACAAAGAAACAACAGATGCAAGGGCTGGAGGTGGATAATAAGATTCAAGTGGAGGTGGACGACGTGGGAGAAGGGAACGCTCTGCGAGAGAACGATGATGTTAACGCTAATAATGCGTTTTTCATCAGGTTAAATGGAACCGAGCAGCACGGGTTATTTTCTTCTTTTTTTTTTTACCAGAGATCAGGTCAGTGCTGCCTCTCTGCTTCTGGCATGCCAAGCTTGCAAATCATGTGGAAATGTGGATGTGGGACTCGAGTCACTGTCAGTACACATGCCAGGATGATCCTGTGCAGCAGCTCCTGTTTGCATGCGTGTGCATGTGTGAGAGAGATAGACAGGAAAGGGGCTGCTGAGCGCAGTGTCACAGCCTACTCTGGATGTAAAAGGGGCAGACGTGCACGGCAAAAGCCACAGATTAAGTTGCACACCATCTTGAAAGAAACACTAGCAGAAGTTGGAGAGATTATTTTTAAAAGTCTGAGTCTCAGAGTTCATTGGCACAACACTTGTAGCCTGAAGACCTTCAACTACCCATTAAGCCGGGAGGTTGTTTCAGAATACAAGCTGCCTTTGTGAAGGAACCTTCCCTGCTTTGTTAAATTCTCATCTGGCTGCCCACATTGTTCTCTGTGACCCCATAAGATCTCCTTTCAGAGTGCAGAGTGAAGCCTTAGACCTGAGCTTGTTTGTTTTTTGTTTGTTTTTGCAGACAGGGGGTATGTGAATGCAGTAAAACCACTAAAACACAAAAATCTCGCACATACCCACTCTGAATGTCTGCCCATTGACTTCTGACATTGTTGCTCATGCTGGCTCCGTTTTTAAAATCATAGGGTTATGCATTGTTTACATACCTAGATAAGAGTGGAAATGTTCTTTTGTTTGTGTGTTTTTTGGGGTTTTTTTACATTAAGGTAGCCCACATTTTGCTTCAATCCAAAATTCAATGTTTCAGCACTCTGAGAACACAAACAAGCACAAGCTGGGGAGCGAAATAAAGCTTTGAAACCCTCTAAGAATACCTGCACTTCCATTCAGAAATGCACATTCCTTGGGAAACTGTCTAAAAGTGGCTACCGAACTGGGTAGAACTACAACCCAGCTGGGCATCTCACAAAGGCTCTGTTGTTGTGGTTGGTGAAACATCAGCACAAGGGACTGGAGTTACAGAGCAACTCTAACACTTTATTATTATTATCATTATTTTAAATGAGGATAAAAATAACACAGTTTAATTTAACAAAAAAAGTGAAGCTGTTGTTGTGCGGGAAAATCTCTTGGATGTCAACAAATCAGTCCTCTTACCTCTACACTGAACGACTGCTCCTCTCCGTTCACGGCACATAAAATCCACAGCAACAACTGCAAGCATAACGTCCCCATACAGCAGCTATTAAGACATCTCCTACTGCGGAGCGCCAATAAAACCATAGTGACCCCCGCTGTTGGAGCTTATTGTCTGCGCTCAGTTTTATTTACAGGCGACACAGAGAAATGGGCAGCGGGAATAAATCCTACACATTTGGCAGCAACATCGCTGATGTCTCGCTGTCTCTCTTGCGGTGCCGAAAGCAGAGGACGGGGGAGAGAAATGGGCGAAGGAGCGGATTTGTCGAGCCCTCGCACCCGCTGCTTTCGCCGCGGTTTCGGGAGGAGGTTATCCCCGGGGAAAGAATCGCTGTTAACGCCTCTCAGGCGCCTCCTGGTCCCACAGTCCCCGGGTCAGTCCTCCGGTACACCGGCCGTTGTTCCAAGCGGACGCGTCCAGCCCGTTTTCTGCACCGCGCGGCATAGCTGCCCGTTTTCAATCGTGTTTCCCACCGAATGCGCATGTGCACACTGGCACGAGCGCCCCCTCCCATCCCCATCCTCGTCAAAATCCCAGATAAAAACACAACAGTCCTCATCCTGCCAGTGCAGTTTGACACAAACGTAAGAAGCGCTATTTTCGCACTCAGCATATTCTGCTATTGTTCTTCTCTTTGGGTAAATAAACACGCAGGCTTCCGTATTTGGCTCCATGTCATTTTTCACATGGCAACAAGCAGGGACAGCTTATTATTGTGCTAATATAACCAACTTTATTTCATAACTTGAGACGAGTAGAAAATTGTGACTGTTCATAAATGCCCCATAAGCTTTTATGATGTAAATATTAAACTGGGTAACATAAAAGTGCAAGTTAAATATATTTTAAAAATAATAAAATGTTTACATGGTTTTTATATCTTTTTTAATACCTTCTTCCTATACTGCTATGTATATTTAGATTTACATTCTTATTTTTATGATTTCTATCAGCCACAGCCAAGCTACATGTAATGTGCTCCTGTGCTCATGCCTATGGGATTTCTGTATCCATGTTTTAAACCCTCCTTTGCCAATAGAGGGCGATGACAGGCTCAGTGTTCAACCACCACCCTCAGTGTGGGTGTGTAATCCTACTCCGATATCTCCTGTGTGTCAACTTGGCTTCCAGTATTAGGTAATGATGCCATCAGGAGTGTTGTCACCGTAGAGAAAGTGATGTGTTCACGGTTTAAGAGCGCTCCTTTTACAAAGAAACCTTTCATCAAAGTCTCATCTTTGCATTAATAAAAGACTGTGACAAATCTGTGTCATTTATTATTGGTAAACAGAGTTATATTGCCTTTGCAATGGCACCTGGGTCCTCACTAATACACAAAAAGTGCCACATTAAAGAGCCTCTGTTTAATTTCCTCGTATAATAAAGAAGGGGCAGGCATAATGACCCAGGTCAGTGATTTTCTACTTAAACTAACACCAGGGGACGAGGAACAAGCAGTGTGTGTGCCACAGCAAAAGATAGGTGAGTCACACTATTAGGCTATTGATGAGAGTTGACTTTGCACACACACTCCAGCTTCATCCTGGGACAAATTCTCACACTAAATGGATAAAACTTCATTTAAAGTGTTGCAAAACATTGGGAGCGTCAGAACAGGCACAGTTTGGCTTGAACCCTGTGTGATCCACGTGAGTTCTGCAGGGCATCATGTCACGCTAACTCTTTAAAAAAACATCATCTTGCTTATTACACTTCATGGAGGAAGTATTAATTATAGTTTGCAGATGTAAGTTTACTTATCTGGACAGGAAATGACAAACACTTTGGAGCACTGTGTCAGCTCATAGGAAAGGGTAAAATTTATTGTGTGTCTACCAAGGTGAAGCTCGGACTCATGAATTCTTGATTCTTCTTTTGCACAGCTCTGTTCTGAAGTGGTTAGGATGCCTCGTCAGTGATGAGAATGTAGACACCCAGTAGAGTATTTTAAAATTAATGTGACAAGCTTTCATTTCCAAACTTTAGAGATGATGATTATTAATTTACAGACAGATGTCTTGTTTAATAACTTGTAGAAACATCATGAAAGCATGCATGTATATTATGAAATTTTAAAAAAGCAGCTTCCTGGAAAGCAGTGAAATTACCAGGTAAAGATAAAACTAGATGCACAGTTATGGTAGATGCCTAATATGACTCACAAATTCCAGGAAGAATTAGCTAGTGGCAATAAAAAAAGAGAATGTAAAAAGAAAAGACGAGCTGACTCAGAGTGCTTACAGTCTCTACAGGTCGCATAAAATCATAAAAAGTATAGCTCCAATTTAGATAAAGATAACATAATGTATTTATGTAATCATAATTATGTAGAGCACGTTTGGCCAGATGTCTCAGTGTGATTACAAAGCATAAAATGGAATAAAAATCAATCCAGAGATGAAAAAATATGCATTGAAAAACACTTAAATGTAACATTTTATTTAAAAGCAGTACACAAAGTACATAAATACATGAAACAAACAAAAAAAACAAATCTGCCACACATGTCTAAACATCCATCCATCCATTTTCTTCCACTTATCCAATTCAGCGTGATGAGGGGACTGGAGTGTAGCCCAGTTGTCACAGGGCGAGAGGCGGGTTACAAAGTGGATAGGTTACTAATCTGTCACAGGACTAACACAGAGAGACAAACAACCATTCAGGGCCAGTTAAGAATCAGCAGTTAACCTAACCCCACTTAATTCATGTGTTTGGACTGTGGAAGGACACCAGAACGCCACACAAGAGACAGAGTGGATTCTGACCCAGAACCTTCTCGCTTTAAGGCAGTACTAACAGTAGCAACCACTATGCCACCATGCTGTCCCATGTCTAAACAGATATGTTTTTATCTTCCATTTAAAAGAATCCATGAAACCAAGTCTTTTAGCAGGTGTGTGGGACAAACAGCAAATTTAACATATTTGTCTGAGGGTATGCTCTGTGTGCATGAACAAAAATATTAAACTGGATCCTGAATGTGAGGAAGTATTTAAAATAACCCACAAGACTGCCTAAGAGAGTAAAAGCATACTACGATTGTTGATAAACAACAATATGAAGGCATACACGAGCATCTTTAGCTGCACATTTAAAGCTCTAGTCTCAGTTTTCTGAGGTTTGTTAGGTTCATCTGAACCTCCGTCTTTTCAGCGCTAGGGCATAAAAAATGGTAAATCATAAAATTAAGGCATTCTAGAAGCCAAGATAGGAGATAAACTGCAATGACTTTGACGAAAAATAAAGCTAAATATCTATCTAAATTTTTGATAATGAGTACTTCAAAGGCCACAGAAAAAGGGCACCTAGGCACCTTGCAGTTACTGAGTCAGCCATGAACTCCTCAGACAGCCCGTTCTCACTCCAGAGGCTCCTCTGTTCACCACAGTATTATAAAGTCGAATGTAGAGCCAACATCCTAGCTAAATCTGACAGTTAAAGCTTTGTCCAAACTTGAAGGAGCAACTGGAAAATGATCATCAGCAAAGATAAAACAGAATTACTGAAAAAAAAGTATTAAGTTGTTGCAAAGGCCCAGTCCAAATCCAGACCTCATTCTGACTTCAATGCTGTGGAAGGACCTTGTTAGAACTGTGCAAAAATAATGTCCTGCAAACCAAAGCAAAGCTGTAGAGTGGGCTAAAAATTAATCCACAACAATGTTAGAGACCGTTAAAGCCATACGGAAAATTATTATTTCAAGTTATTTATGCTAAAAGTGGTTCTACAAGCTACTTAGTCATTGGGTGTGCTTAGTTTTTTCACACACTAATTCTACATTGTGTTTAGTATTTGTGAAATCAAACTGTATTTACCTAAATTTAAGACCTGGTACGGACAAGATATGTTTTATTACTTCTTGATATGGAAAACCTTAGAACTGACAGAAGATGTGCCTTCTTTTTATCATGACAGTATACAGGACAGCAAAGGCCCAAGAACTGAGCCCTGTTGGACACCACAGGACAGCGGAGAGGAAAACCCTACAGAACAAAAGAAGAAACCTCAGTCAATGAAATTAATTAAGGTGATGATCTATCTTGCAAACCCTCAGAAGACCACCTCCCAAACTCTGACTGAAATGTATCGTTATTTTATTCCTTCCCATATTCTTTTTCTTTTTTTCAGTATGTTGTTTGGTAAAAACCTTTCTAGAATAAGATCACAGCACACCCTGGCATCACCAAAACAATAGTTACTACTATAGTATAGGTATAGTTATTATAGTTATAGTATAGTATGGTATTGCATTCAGTGGGCTAGAGGTTAACTTCATTTTACTTCATTTAGTAATGAAGGCAGTCATCACTGCCTCTGACAGAAAAATACAGTAAAGAAGAAAGAGGTGTTGAAATGCAGTTGTTAATAATAACAAAGGCTATCTTGGGATTCATTTTTGAGGAAGAGATTATGTCTGCAAAGTAACCAGTCGAGGCTTCTTTTACCGAGGCTTTAAACTAATATAAGCGATCTTTAGAGGACAGACAGTGGAACTTGAACTCAGTGGCCTTGGTCACTCTGTCTCTGTCTCTGGGTCTCTGGGTCTCTGGGTCCTTTCTTGCGTAGTCTCTGGGTCCTTTCTTGCGTAGCAGACATGTATTTATCTTTTTCTGTTCATATAAGATCCACCTCTTTTCGAAAATCCAGGGCTGTGACAAAATTGCTAGAGATGAATGGCAAATTATGAGTTCAACTGAACTCAATTTGAACATTTTCCATTCATAAATCCACTGTGCAGTTATTAGCACAAAAACAACTTCTCTTGTTGGCCATTGTGGTGTCATTTACTAACAGTATGAATTCATGTTTTTCCTAGAATATATTGACTGTATGTTCCACAACTCAAAACCACTCGTGTAATCAGTGAAGACGTAATTTTTATTGCATGTGATAGTTGATGCTGAATAAACTGCACAAACACAACCCTGCTGAACTGCTCTGTCACTCATTCTTTGTGGGAGTTAAATAACTTCCTCATTTCATGCTCACTTTGTAACGATGCAAATTTACAATAATTTTTACCATGTTAAAAATATGAAGTCTTTTCTTTGTCCTCCTTGTGCTCATCTAGAAGTTTGTTGGATGGTTGAAATCATTCGCTCATCCACACTTCCCCTCTCTTTTTGCTAACTCTTTCGCACTCACCGTCTCTCTTCCTCTCCACTCCTTAATGACTTCCTCTCTCACTCAATAATCCTGAATACCCTATTTGAAAGGTTCTGGCCCTTTCCAACTGGTCCTCCCACCAGCGCAAAGCCCTGCCAGGCTCCTCAAAGCCTCCCTATGGAAACACGACTATGTCTCATAACTGCTGCATCTGCTCCCAGTCAGACCTCCTGGATCTCCTGGCAGCATGAATTTAAAGCTGCCCGTCTGTCTCCCTTTTTCAAGGAACAAAATAACAATAATAATAATTTTTTAAAGAGATATGATGAAGAGAGAGCAGTAGTTGGTAATTAAAGAGT